TATTACCCTACAACTTAAAAATTATATAATTGAATATTGTGTTTTTGCAAGTATTCATCCAGTTGCTGTTTAAAGAAACACGGGCAATAGTACATTGCAAAAAAACAATGCTGACATACTCCGCCGCATGGCCAGCCTTAAAGACAGGAACATGGCGAGAAACATAAGATTCAGAGGGGTCCCAGAGACTCTAACTGGAGATGAAATGCCTCATTTTATTAAAAGGCTCCTTGCTTCACTGATATCGCCTAAACAAGTACAATTACTTGTAGGGGACTATTGCTTCTGCCTACCGAGGGGCCACAGGGCCCCTATAGAGACATCCAGAGGTGTGTTAATTAAATTTGTGCATTACTCTGATCGGGTAATTGTCATGGGGGTGACCAGGTGCACCCCTACTGCGACCTTTGAAGGCAGGACACTTACTTTTTATTGGGATTTGTACCATCACACCATCCTCTGGAGACAATCCTTCCGACCACTCACCCAGCATCTACGTGACCACCAGTTTCTCTATAAATGGGGCATGCACTAGATCCTGATTAACAAGGACAGCAAGACCCACTCCCTCAAAAATCTATCCGAGGCATCCTCCAAGATTTAGGACCTGGAATTTCCAGCCGGTTCTTTCTCGGTAGCACACAGCCAGTCATGGTCTGTGAACCAGTTAAACCCGTTCGTGGCCAGAACGACGACTTTGAGATCCAACAACCTACCACCTGGAAGAGCGATATCGATCTACTTTTGCTTAGAATAATTGCCTGTTATGCACATCCTAAGTTTTCTCATTCTACTGTTTAGACTTCTTTTAATTTTAATTATTGTAGTTTTTAATAAGCTGCAATAATTGCCTTGGAGGGTTAATTTCACATCTAGTGGCTGTCTACCAGACAGCCACTCGAGGGACTTTTGGGTCGTTAGGAGACTTTTGGTTGCCTGACACTGGATGTTCTCATGCAATGAATGAGGACATCCAGCATCAACCAAAACCCCCTACCATAGCATTGTATAACCCCATTATACAATGCTTTCCTATGGCGTAAGTCCTAACAGACTCAGTCCTAACAGAGAACAGACAAATGTAGCCTATGGAGCAACATAGTAGGAGGAAAGGACCCTGATAGAGCTACAGACTACCATCAATCCCAGTGGTAGCAGTGAGGGCTTGGTCAATGCTGTTGCAGCCCTTCCAGGGGCCAGGAAAAACGTGCAGCGCCAGACTGGCCAGGCAGATCGCAGGGCGATAGTGGGTGGACCTAGGCGGGAGGACCACGGGGATCACTCTCTGGTGGAATGAGCGTGTTCACCCGCACCTAAGCAGGGCGGCCAGCTGGTATGCACGTCTGCTGATAGCCTGTCAGAAGGCGAGAAGGAACAGTGCAAGGGCAGGTGGTTCCTTGTAGGACAGCACAGCGGAGGAGGGCGCACCGGGTAACAGTGTAGCGGCGAGAGACGGTCGGTCTCTTCTGCCAGGTGTAGCCGGTGCTGCCACAGTGCCTCCAGGTCAGCTAGCAGGAGCCCCAGCGATAGGAGAAGACTCCTTGCGGCCGTTTCGGCCTGGACAAAGGGCACAGAGCTAGCAAAGGTGGCGATCAGGAGCGATCGAGGATAGGAAAGGAGGGATATCTGTGGATGGTTTACCCAGATGTGTTTCTAATTTCAGTGCTCCTGACTCATCGTCAGCCACAGTAAGAGAACAGCCCCATCCCAGAAGCATCAACTGGTAATTCCCAGGAAATTGGGCATGATGTACCCTTAGCAAGGCATCTAGGTGTACACCACACGTCTCATAGGGTGACCCAGAACTTCTTTTGGCCGGGAATCTCTAGGGATGTGCAGCGATACTGCAAAACATGTGACATATGTCAGCGAGTAGGGAAGAGTGGAGATCACCCCAAAGTCCGGCTGCTATCCATTCCCATTATTGAGGAGTCCTTTAGCCGGATAGCAGTCGACCTAGTAGGGCCGCCAGCTAGACCTAGTCCCTCCGGTAAGAAGTACATACTTACCGTGGTGGACTATGCTACCCGCTATCCAGAAGAGGTCGCGCTCATGAATATCCATACAGAGACGATGGCAGATGCTCTGGTTCGGGTATTCGCCAGAGTAGGTTTACCCAAGGAAATCCTATCGGACCATGGAACCCAATTCACGGCCCGATGGCCAGTCCGGGCCTGGTTAATGATACACTGTGCATGGCTAATGATGCACTGCTAATAGTGCACCTCTATTGGTACATTGCTAACGATACACTGCTAATAGTGCACTACTAATGGTACACTGTTATTTTTACACTGCTAATGATACATAGCTAATGGTACACAGCTAATGATGCACTGCTAATGGCACACTGCTAATGACACAATGTTAATTAAACACACACAAGTACAGTCCCACTACAGTCTTTTGAATGCTGTATAATTATATTATTGCTATAAAAACTAAAGGCAGCAAATTGTCAGGCAAGCTGATACAGTAGACATGTGCACCAGTGAAATTTTCATTTCGTACAAATGAATTCTTACTAAATAAATATTTCATTCGTCCATTCCGAATTTAGTCTGTAAAACATTTGTTTTTCTGATGAAATTCGGTAAACACAATTGTCGCCAGTGGCTGCTCGCTGTCATTTAAAACTACTAGTGACTGGGCAGCTATTGCTGCTCAGTCACTAGTGCAATAAGGGGGGACCTAGTGCCCCCACCCCTGTGCCCCGTCTCAGGCTGCAGGGAGAACCATCGTTTTTTGTTTCTCCTCCGTGCTGTGGGGGTTAATTCTCCTGCAGCATGGATTACACCGGCAGTGAAGTCTCCCAGTGCAGGAAGAGCTAGTAATAGCATTAGCCACCAGTGTGGGGAGATTTAACCCGTGCGGGGCTGCAGGGAGACTCTTACACGCTCGGGTGAAGTCTCCTGCTGCAGGGAGATCCAGGTTTTTTTATTTCTTCTCAGAGCGGTGCGGGTTAATTCTCCTGCAGCACGGAATCTATTAAACAAAAGAACTGAAACGAAAAGGTAATGCATTCGGCATTTGCCCTTTCGCTTCGTATATAATTTGTATGTAGGACTTTGCTTTATGTTATAGTAAACGAATACAAAAAAGTCAGAAAATTCTGATTGAAATCATATTCGTCAGATAACGAATGCACATGTCTATGATACAGTCTATCTTCCTCTTCCTCTGTAATCGTTATTTAGCAGTTTCAAGTTAAACCCTTTTTCTTTTCAGTATTCCAGTCATGCTGTTTTAACATTACCTGCGTCTTGACCACCATTCAAAAGTCCCTTGAGCTATATTTATGCTTTTCTATCCTGTCTGCCATTTTTCCAGCTGTTCCTCCTGTTTGGTTTATTGACTCTTGAGAAGAGCGTGTTTATCAGCTGTGCCCTATAGAAGGTCCCATGCCGCCTTCCTTGATTATCTGTCTTATTTGTAGAGTTTCCTGAATAAAGTTGAGCGAACTCGGATTGTAAAGTTTGGGTTCGTACCGAACATTTTGGTTTTTGGACCCCGGACCTGAACACGGACATATCACTGTATGTTCGGGTTGGAGTTCGGTGTTCGGTGATTTAATGGCGCGTTTTGAAAGGCTGCAGGGCAGCCAATCAACAAGCGTTTGACTCCTGTGCCCTTAGAAGCCATCACAGCCATGCCAACTAATGGCATGGCTATGATTGGCCAGTGCAGCATGTGACCCAGCCTCTATATATAAGCTGGAGTCACGTAGCGCCGCATGTCACATGAGCTCTTATTAGTGTAGGGAGATGATGCTGCCGCTTTTAGGGACAGATTAGGAAATAATTCTGCAAACTAGTACATTAGTGAGGTGCACTTCATATCTGAGAGTCAAATAGAAGGGTCAATTACTGCTGTCACATTACAGTTTTAAAACGTAAATTTTTTTCGGTGCTAAAAAGTACATTAGAGGGGTGCTCTTCATATCTGAGAGTCAAATAGAAGCGTCAAATAGTGCGCTTACAGCGCAGTTGTAAAAATTCTAATTGTTTTGCTGCTAATCTGCTAAATAGTAAATTTTGGGCGTGCTCTTCATATCTGAGAGTCAAATAGAAGCGTCAAATACTGCGCTTACAAAACTATTTCCATATGTCCTTTGCAAACTTTACATGCTGGAAAAACACAGGTGCCAACTGCTGTGTCTTTCTGCAGTGTGCAGACCGGCAAGGAGGGCAGGGTTGAGGAGTGGGTGAAAGATGATGTGGAGGATGATAAGGTCCTAGACCTCACATGGAATCAAGGTCATGCGAGTGACGTGTGGAGTTTGGAGGAAGAGGCGCTGGTCGCACAGAGGCACCAGCACAGCATAACAGCGAGCAGGGTGCAAAAGTGGAGCGGCCGCCCCTAGCGCTCCTCGGCATGTATTATCTTTAGAATTCCCACAGTTATCCAAGTAACAGATGGAGCGATAAAAGGAAGCACAACAGATTTAACGAGCCATTCGCAATTTCACAGTCAGGAGTGCAGTCCGGTGACCGGGACCCAGACACTGATGTTGAAGTTAGGAGTCACAGTGTGGAATTGATTAGCAGGGTCTGGTGCAGGGTAACCGCACGCCCCCTGGTGTTGAGTATCAGCGTTTGTGCGGCCACATACAAGCCCTGATGCAGCTTCAGTTAAAAGAGTACTGGATACCAAAAGCCATCACCAGACTGATCCGCAACTTGGAACAGGATGTGACATTCACTGTACCGAGTGTGAGTGCTTTCGGCGTTCTCACCCTGCTGCTGCTCGCCTGTCTGCGCTGCAGCGTAAGTTTGGCCTTCCGCTCATTGCCTCATATGCAGCGTGCCCACAAGGTGAAACTCCACCTCGCACATGCTGGAGAGACTGTGCGAGCAGCAGGCGATAGTGGAGTTTCAGCTGCAGCACGCATGGGTTAGTCGCTCTGCACCAGACTTGCCCTCCAATTGATCAGAGTTAAAGGATTTCAAGTGAACTCATTACAATTACAGGGCCTCTAAAGAGTCCTGTATTGTTATTTGTCGTCACTACCTTCCCTCATCGGGAGTGGGTCATTTGCGTGCCTGCTGCCTTCCTTGCATGTGGTAGCTCCCTCTCAGGAATTGAACCCTGATTCCCCGTTACCCGTGGTCACCATGGTAGGCACAGTAAATGGCATCGAAAGTTGATATGGATGACATACGAATCCATTGTCGCCTTGTCGTTGGGGAGCCCATTGAAAAAAGTTCTCCTCCGGGAACTTGGCTTGATGGGAGTTGAGCCAGTTCTGGGTGGCCCTTGTGATGCGACATGCCCACTCCGCATGGGAGTCCTTCTCCCCTTTCCGGGTCTCCCTAAACTTTCGGTGGTATTGCTCGGAGGTGACCGCATACCGGGCCAGGAGGATTTGGGTAATAAAGGGATAGTCTCTGACCTGCTCTTCTGGTACAGCCCGGTAAATATCCGCTGCCTTCCCCACTAGTTTCCTGGCCAGGATGGTGATCTAGTCGCTGGTGTCCACGTCTTGGAGTAGGCACTGGCGCTCAAAGTCTTGTAAAAAGTCATCGATGCCTTCTTCTGCTTCCTTGAAGTATTTGAAGGCTTTGTACGGTAGCTTGTGGGCCAGGGTGGTTGTGATTCCCGGTGCCCTCTGCTCCCTTCTTCCTTCATCTGGGTTCATGGAGGTCGCCCTCTGTCTATTGGCAAGGACATAGGCTTGCACCTCCAAAAAGGTCCTGCTGACAATCTCCTCTGAGGGTGGCTCTCGGTAATATGCCAGGCGCCGTTACACCTCCTTGCACACTTCCTCCTCATCTCCTGCTGCTGCTCGCCTGTCTGTGCTGCAGTGTGACTTCGGCCTTCCCGCTCATTACCTCATGAGACTGTGCGATGAGCAGCAGGCGATAGTGGAGTTTCAGCTGCAGCACGCACGGGTCAGTCGCTCTGCACAACAGAGTTGTCTTTTTTTCTATGTCCCAATATTTTGAGGGCTACCCCAATAAAAAAAAAATATATATATATATATATATATATATAAAAGCAGTGTTGGCTACCTCCTCCACCGCTGCTTCCACCTACACCGCCACGGTCACCGCCTCCTCATCCTATGGGTCACTTATATAAACACAATAGCAGAGGCTTGTGAAGGCCTTTTCTCCATGCATCAGGAGTTGAGCATTTCACCATGCATAAGGACTTCAAAAAATGCACCACAGGCCGCAAATGTTTCTTTTTTATATGTCCCAATATTTTGGGGGCTACCCCAATTAAAAGATATATATATTTGTGTACGGCACATTACGAAGACGTAGGGCAATGATAGTAAAAGAAGCAGTATAAGTAATAGCAAGTCAGTTGAGGTGTGCCTGACGTGAGGTTAGGCCTGTAAAAGAGGGCCCACCTAGGATAAATGTTAATGAATTGAGGGTGCGGTGGGAGGGGCACTTCCGGGAACATCGATGACAGGTAAGCTGGGCTTTTTGTGGTTTATATAGGGAAAACTGTACCTCCCACAATTCCAGGCCAAGCCTTCTATTTGTGTACGGCACATTATGAGGACGTAGGGCAATGATAGTAAAAGAAGCAGTATAAGTAATAGCAAGTCAGTTGAGGTGTGCCTGACGTGAGGTTAGGCCTGTAAAAGAGGGCCCACCTAGGATAAATGTTAATGAATTGAGGGTGCGGTGGGAGGGGCACTTCCGGGAACATCGATGACAGGTAAGCTGGGCTTTTTGTGGTTTATATAGGGAAAACTGTACCTCCCACAATTCCAGGCCAAGCCTTCTATTTGTGTACGGCACATTATGAGGACGTAGGGCAATGATAGTAAAAGAAGCAGTATAAGTAATAGCAAGTCAGTTGAGGTGTGCCGAAACTGATGTGAGGTTAGGCCTGTAAAAGAGGGCAAAATTATTAGAAGCGATTCTCAAAATACATATAAGTTTATTTATTTAAATACAAACATTATTTAGACATGTCATGGAAAGCCATTCGTATTTCTTTTTCAGGGTTAGGAATGTACGTATTGTATGCAGATGATTTCCATCTTCCCATGTTTTTTATGATGTGTGTAGGTACTTGGTTACCTGAGGCAGCTGAAGCTGCACCAATGCGAAAGGAATGACCCGTGAATGCGTGTGACCCGTGAATGTCCTAGCCGAAACAATAATGTACGGATGTAATACATAAATTGTTTAGTGGTTAGGGGTTTTCCTTGAATAGCTAACAGTGGACAACCCGGTTGGGAAGTGATTTGGGACATCAGTAGTTTATCTAAAACTAGGATAGGACACCATTTGGTAGAGGTAGGATAGTATTTAATTTAAGTGTTGGCTACCTCCTCCTCCACCACCGCTTCCACCTACACCGCCACGGTCACCGCCTTCTCAACTATGCACACAATAGCAGGGGCTTGTGAGGACCTTTTCTCCATGCATCAGGAGTTGAGCTCAGTTTGAACAATAAAAGAGAATACCCTGCACTCCAACCCTCCTTTAAATGGATAATTATGGTGGTCCTCCTGACAGCCATGCTTTAGATTTTGATTTATGTTCTTCCAAAGCTAAAATCAAAGGTTCAACCTAGTGCTATTTTATGGCTCAGCTGTATTTTTAATTTTTATGTTATTTTAAGTGATTTCCCTATCTACATTTGTTTGCAGGGCACTTGTCCTACTCTTACTCCCATTTTACTTCCTTTTGCAGCCCTCTAGCTCTTTCCATGACTTTTTAAGAGGCATTTTAGTACCCAAAAGTTCGGGCCCCCACTGACTTCAATGGGGTTTGGGGTCAAGTTCGGGGTCAAGTTCGAGCCCGAACCCGGACTTTTTTTCAAAGTTAGGCCAAACCCGCCGGACCCGAACATCCAGATGTCCGCTCAACTCTAGTCCTGAAGTGCTGTACTTTTATCTTAAACCAGGCTTATATTACCAACTGGTTGTATCAATCTAGACTGGAATACTTCTATGTTTCTCTCTAGAGCTGGGCATCTAGACTTTCAATTAAAGGGAGTTGTCACTTTGCTGGAAATTGAAGATTATGCTAGCGTTAGTGTACTTATAATCTTAATTTTAATAATGACAGGAGGCAAGTATTTTGCATAAATCTCTTTACTAAACTCCACAACAGTAAAGAAAGATAACCTTTAACCAATCAAAAAATGCAGTAGGGAGTATGACATTCCCAGTAAATAGGCTCCTCCCCCTCTTTCAGAAGCGACATCGTAAACAGGGAAGAATATAAAAGCCTGTAATCAGTAACAATAGAGGAAGGTTCCAAAATAACAATGATCCTGAGGGTGATCGTTAACCAATATCAACGGTAGGAAAAAAGGTCCAACGGGGACGGTGGTCTTCATGGGTTGAGCAGTAATCCGATTAGTTTCCTGCAGTTATTCCATGCTCTTGCGAGGTTACACTGAAAGAGAATGTGAAATGGGTTAGACTTTGGTCTCCAAACTGGTTGTAGCAATGGTAGCGGCCCTTGGCCTAATAATATGACATTGTTATACTGGTTGGATACATCATGAAACATTTGTTTGACTGTAGTTAAGTGAAGTGGTAAATAGGTACATTGTCTAGAATAGTGCTATAAACAAGAAAACGTGAATAGTGCTAAAACCAGAAAAAGAGAATAGTATAGTGATAGGGAGATTCCCCTCTTCCCCGGGTGGGAAAGGGTGGGAAAATACTCGCCTCCTGTTATTGTTAAAATTAAGATTATAAATACACTAATGCTAGCATAATCTTCAATTTTATCACATGACAGGAGGCTTCCTATTTTGCATTTTTAACGCTGTTGTATGAGTGACATAGCCGCACCTGAGTTCGGGCGGAAGTAGAAAGTGCGGAACGTGGATTCAATTGACCAGTCTGCTGAACGTAGGATGTCTGATAGGGATGCGCCTGCCATGAAAGCCGTGGATGCTGCCGCGCCGTGTACCGAGTGGGCCCTGAAGGAAGCATCGACACCTGCCAGATACAGTATCCAGCATACCCATCTGGCTAGGGTGGTCGTTGAGATGGGGACGTGTGGTCTAACGTATGAAACAAGGAGTTGGCCCGAGGACGGGGTCCGAATTGGTAAAGTAACTTCCACGTACGTTGTAAAGTGGAGACAACGCAGAGTTGTGGATCTGAGGCAAAGAAGGGATAGAAAACCGATGTAGAGTCCGATTTCGTGCGACGAGATATCCGGAATGTGACTCCCTCCGGAGATACTGAAAAGGCGTCTATGTCGAATGCCCGAACGTCCGAAACTCTGCGGAAAGAAACTAGGCAGAGCAGAACCGTAAGTTTTGCTGAAAGTTGTCTAAGGGATAATCTGTCATTCGTCGGCCAGTCTCTCAGAAAACGGAGAACCATGTCCACGTCCCAGAGTCGCGAGTATTTGGGGCCTGGGGGACGTTGCAGCCTGATGCCCTTTAGGAGTCGACATACCAGTGGATCTTTCCCCACCGGGATCCCCAGTACCGGTACGTGGGCTGCTGAGATAGCGGAGCGGACTACGTTAAGTGATCTGTATGAACGACCTGTGGTGAAGAGGTGAGATAGAAAATTCAAGACGGCAGGAATAGCGGCTGTAAACGGATCGAGGTTCCGTTCCATGCACCAAGTGGACCAGGAATTCCAAGCGGATAGGTAGCATCTTCTGGTTCCTGGGGCCCAAGGGTCCCATAGGAGGTCCCTAACAGCCTGCGATAGTTCGCCAACTTGCCAGTCGCCCCGGAAAGAGTCCAGGCCACCAGGTTGAGTCGATTGTCCATAATCAGTGGGTGAGGGTTGCCTTTCGGATCAGTGAGGAAGTATGGGTGGTGAGGCAGTAGGAGAGGGTCCCTGTATGACAAGGCCAGGAGATCCGGGAACCATGGTTGTCCCTTCCATAAGGGGGTGATGAGTAGTATCGATACTTGTTGACTTTTCAGGTAGTGTATGGTCCTTGCTATCATGACGAAGGGGGGAAAAGCGTAAGCTCCCGTGTTCGGCCACGGATGTAGGAATGCATCTACTGCTTCGCTTTCTGGGTCTGGGATCCAGCTGAAATACACTCGTGTTTGCCTGTTGTTGCGTGATGCAAACAGATCCAGGTGGAGTGGGCCCCGGATTTCCGTTAGACCTGAGGATCTAGCCTCCAATCGCTTGTGTCTCGCCAGTGGCGTGAGAATCAGTCTGCCGTGAGGTTCGTCTCTCCTGGGAGGTATTCCGCTTTGAGGGAGATGTTGCGGGTAGACAGAAGTCGAAAATCTCCTTTGTTATTTCTGACAGGAGACGGGACCGGGCTCTGCCTAGGCGGTTGATATAGCGTACTGCGGAGATGTTGTCCATCCTGAGAAGGATGCAGCAGTCCGACTTGTCCTTTGCCAGGCTGCGAATGGCGAAGGATCCTGCGGGAAGTTCTAAGCAATTTATGTGCATATTGAGGTCTTGGGAGGTCCAGATGCCCCCTGTCGACGTGTCTCCGCTTGTCGCGCCCCATCCCCAGAGGCTGGCGTCCGATTCCAGGATTATGTCGGGTGCCAAAAATGGCCCGACCATTCCATGCCTCCATGCTGTCTAGCCACCATCTGAGTTCGTCTTTCACTTCTTCTGTAATGGGGACCAGTTGGTCGTAGGAGGGATTTTGTCTGAGGCAGGATGCCTTGAGTCATTGCATTGCCCTGTAGTGGAGTGGCCCCGGAAAGATGGCTTGTATGGAAGCCGAGAGGAGTCCCACCAGTCGAGCGAGGGTGCAGAGTGGAATGGTATGGGACCGAATGGCCCTGTGTAGTTCTTTGCGAATGGCCGAGATCTTTGATGCTGGTAGTCGTAACGTGCTGGTGGTGGAGTCTATCTCGAATCCTAAAAATTGCACTGTTTGAGATGGATGGGTGGCTGATTTTTGGAAGTTCACGATGAAGCCCAGGGATGATAGGAGATCCGTGGTATATTGTGTGTGCTTTATTAGTCTGAATCTGTCGGAGCAGAACAGTAGGAGGTCGTCCAGGTATATAATGCAGCGAATGCCTTGTGTTCGAAGATGAGCGACCACAGGCTTCATTAATTTGGTGAAGCACCATGGGGCCGAACTGAGGCCGAAGGGGAGGCACGTGAACTGCCAGGGAAGGTCTTGCCAGAGGAAGCGTAGGAATTGTCGGCAGGAGTGGTGGATGGGTACTGATAGATATGCGTCCTTTAGGTCCAGCCTTGTGAACCAATCTTCGTCTTGTAATAAGTCTCTCAGGAGATGTATGCCTTCTATCTTGAAGTGCCTGTATGTGACGTATTTGTTGAGTTGTTTCAAGTTTATGACGGGTCGAAATTCTCCCGTTTTCTTCTTCACCAAGAATATGTTGCTGAAGAAACCTCCGGGGTGGGAGGCGGGTTCGATTGCCCCTTTCCGATAAAGTTCTAGCAACTCGTTGTGTATGAGTGCACGGTCTTCCGTAAGGCAGCTGAAGTCGATGATGTAGCCCTGTATTGTTTGTAGGATCCATGCGTCCGTGGATATGGTCATCCATTCCTGAAAAAACAGAGAAATGCGACCTGCTGTATGTTGTGGCAGAGAAAAAAGTGTTAGGTGATTGCTTACCGGTAGAGAAACGTGATCTGCCTCGGGTACGTGGTCCTCGTCCTCTGTCAGCACCCCGGATGTAGGAGAAGGGTTGACGATATCCCACTTCTGGATAGAAAGGCTGGGGTCTTGAAGTGCGGGGGCCTGAGGGCCAGAAACTGCTGACAGCACGGCCCCGTTGGCGGCCAGCCCTTCCAAAAAACACCTCTGGTGGGATTTTGGCTGAAGACTCTCCTCATCGAGGATTGAGCCTTATTCAATGAGGTAAACACGTTTACGTGTCTGTTTAAATCTTTGAGGAACGGGTCTCCAAATAATTTACCCTGTGCCAGCGGACCTAGTTCTTTGGTGCCCAATTCCACCAATTTTCCGTCAATACGGAGTAGTGCTGCTTTGCGCCGCTCGGATGAGAGGGCGACGTTTGTGTTACCCACAAAGCAAAAGCATCTTTGTGCCCACTCCCGCACATCATGAGCCCATTCACGCACCATGGTTGCATCAAATTGGTCTGCTCTGGCAAGGGCGTCATCAGCTACATACATGATTCTGGCTAGTGGTCCCACTGAGTCCAGTAGTTTGTCCTGTACCCCTCTAAAGCCTTTTTCCAGGGGGTCGTGGCCACCCCGAGACATAAAGGTGATCATCACCTGATCGAACTCGGGTGTTTCTGCTACATGATCCGGTAGCGAGGGTCGTGGGCATTCTGACCACAGCCGGTTGCGAACGGTCTTGTCTAAGGATTTTCATAACCAGAGATGCATAAATTTTGCAAGATGGTCTGGGGGTGTCCAGTCCCCTGAGCGTGGATGCCGTATGTTTCTCGGGTCAAATAACTTCTGGCCCGATGGATCATAGATGGCCTCCTCGTCGTCTTGCGGGATCTCCGCGGTATCTGGGTCTAGGGTGTCTTCCAGCAAGGTGTTTAATAGAAAACCGGATTGGGGTCCAGCGTTCGAGCCCCATGAGTCATCCTCCGAGTCTGACCCTTCTGCTTGCCATTCATCCAGGACGGCCATGGACTTTGTGTGGGTGTCATCTTCGTCCGAAGAGTCTACATATTGTACGGTCGGGGTGGCGACCATCGAGAGTTTGTGCCGTTTGGCAGGGGTCTTACCCTTAGTCGGGTTCTGGTGCCCTTTCTCCCCTTTCCAATGGTGCTTGCCAGTAGGGGGTTCTTGGCTCATGTGAGATTCTGGGGCTTCCGAATCTGAATCGTGTCAGGATTGGTGGGATTTTGATGGCTTTCTCTTCTCAGAGTTAGAGGCCATCATCTTGGAGAGAGCTTTCTCCATGGAGGCGGCTACTGCCTCATTTATCATGGTTTGGAAGTCAGTTGTTTGAGAAGCTTCCATCATGTGAATTGGTAAAATATATATAAATATAATAGAACAGGTGTGGCACAGGGTAGAGGTCAGTAAAGCTGTATGAGAAGTCACTGGAGTGACTAACAGGACGACACCCTTGGATCCCCAGCAGGGTTTATGTAACGTGTGGGTCGAGCAACACGTAAAAATATATATCCCCAGCAGGGTATATCATATGCAGTACCCTAGCAGGGTATCCTTGTGGTTATAGTGATGGCTAGAACCCCAGCAGGGTCAGGGCCGGATTAACATAGGGGCTGATGGAGCTGCAGCTCCAGGCCCAGGCACATGGAATAGGCCCATTGATTTAAAAAAAAAAATTTTTTTTTTTTTTTTTTTACATTTTTTTTTTTTTCACACACTACTCTTAGGGATTCCACCTGGCTTTTATTTTATTGGCAAAGCCAGTATTTGAGGCTGCCTGGCTGGTGCCAATATTGCAGTGATACTGGCAATATAAATGCTGGTATTTTTCTCAGTATAAATGGAGATTACTCTGCAATACCAGCACTGGCCAGTAGGGGTCGCTGTATGTGGAGACAGGCAGGGATAGGAAGTTCCAGAATATCCCTCCCTGCCTATCTATACTCACTGATCTGCAGGGGTGCAGCTACAGAGAGTCCAGACAGCAACTCCCACCCTGCAGAGACAGCCTACAGCTCAGGGAAGTAAGGGATGGGGGAAAGGCTGCAAGGAGACATACACTGGGACACTAAGGGACACTGGGAGACATTATGGCAGACACTGAGACACTAAGGGACATTGGGAGACATTATGGCACAGACACATGGGGACACAGTGTCCCCATGTCTCCCAGCCAGTGTCCCTGGTGTCTGTGTAGTCTCCCAGTGCCCCCTAGTCTCCCAGTGCCCCCAGTCTGCCAGTGTCTCACTGTCCCCATGTCTCCTAGTGCCTCCATGTCTCTCAGTGCCTCAAGTGTCACAATGTCCCCAAGCTAGTGTCCCTAGTGTCTGTGGCCCTGGTGTCTCAGTGTCCCCATGTCTCCCAGTGCCCCCATGTCTCAATGTCCTCATGTCCCCCAGCCAGTGTCTCTAGTATCTTTGTCCCTGGTGTCTGTGTCCCCATGTCTTCAAGTGTCCCCTATTTTCCCATTGTCCCCATGTGTCCCAGCCAGAGTCCCCTAGTCTCCCAGTGTCACTGGTATCTCCGTGTCCCTAGGTCTCCCCGTGTTCCCAGGTCTCCCCGTCTTCCTAGTGTCCTAGTGACATGGGGACCTTGGGATACATGGGGACCAAGGGAGACATGGGGCATTGAGATACTTATACATAGGATCAGTGGGAGACCTGGGGACACTGGGAGACATGGGGCACTGAGACACTGATACATAGGAACACTGAGACCTGGAGTAATCGACACATGGGGGCACTGAGTCATGAGGGCACTGGGAGACATGGGGGCACTGGGAGGAATCCATCTATACAGCAGATTTAAACTCTGTAGTTTTTTGGTGATTTTACAGCATTTTCTCTTATGTCACTCCTTGTGATTTATATCATGTGATGTCACCCACACATATTTAATTATACAAATTAGTAAGGCCGGTATGTTTTTCCAAGAAAGGTGGCAACCCTAACTACTTTTCACATACTCTTACTTAAGTATGGAAACTTAAGAGGGATGTATGGGAACAAAACTTGTGTGGACTGGCTGACAATGAATATAGTTAAAGGGACACTAGAGTCACCAGAACAACTACAGCTTATTGAATTTGTTCTGGTGAGTAGAATCATTAACCATCAGGCTTTTTGCTGTAAGCACCGTCTTTTCAGAGAAAATGCTGTGTTTACATTACATCCTAGTGATAACTTCACTGGCCACTCCTTAGATGACTGGTAGAGATCCTTCCTGGGTCATGGCTGCCTAAAATGCATCCAAACATTCAGTGTCTCCTCCCTCTGCATGCAGACACTGAACTTTCCCCATAGAGATTCATTAATTAAATTCATCTATATAAGGAGATGCTGATTGGCCAGGGCTGTGTTTAAATCATGCTGGCTCTGACCCTGATCTGCCTCTTTGTCAGTCTCAGCCAATCCTATGGGGAAGCACTGTGATTGGATCAGGCCACCACTTCTAATGATGTCAGCAGACTGCTTGTTTTTATGAGTCTAACAGCATGCAGAGTTACAGCTTCAGGCTTGAATATAGTAGGATTTTGCTATATTTATGGAGGCATGAGGGGCCCAGGGGGCTAGATGGTGGTGTTAACACTATAGGGTCATGAATTCATGTTTGTGTTCCTGACCCTATAGTGATCCTTTAAGGTAATGCTGACTTTGGTCTCTCTAACACTGTGGCATGTTCCCTTTCTTCTACACTCACTACATACAGCTTTTCTCTGTCCCAGACCACATACCAGGAGCTTCTGCCTGCTAGTAAGAAGGTAAGGAGACAAGTGGACCAGCGAGTATTAGGGGACAGTCCTTAGAAAGCGTTGAGTGAGCGCATCATTAGATGCATTTATGCCAAGCTCAGGGTGCTGTCTGCATAGTATGCACTTAGTTGGCCAGCTGCATGATTGGCAGGCAGTCTGACATGCATTCATGCCAGGCTGGCCTTCTAATTCTTTGAGCAGACATGTCCTCTTTTTTGGCATGTTCGCCCCTTTTGGCAGGTTACGTGATTTGTGTCAGTGGCACATGCTTTTACCATGCCCATGCCTGACTGGACACTGCTGTTAGGGGTTATGGATTTACTTGAAAGATGAAAACATAAATTAGAGAGAGATTAGCCTAGGGTATGTGTTTTCTTATAGCTTCTGTTTTCTTTCTCTCCAGCACCATCTCCATCAGATACATGACGCTTGGGAGTGTTTTACTGTTTTTGGTCGATATGATTCTGTAATTAGGCCCGTCATAATTGTCAGCACCAGGCCCACTGGGCTCTTAATCTGGCCCTGAGCAGGGTATATGCCTTTGCAGAAGTAGCTTTGTCAGTTTGCCCCAGCAGGGCAGGGGAAGAAAAAACCACAGTATTGGGATTTAAATAATTATATATATGTTTTATAAAGTACTGGGCCTCACCCAGAGAAAATTAGAGGTGGCCACAGGGCGACCTCCAGTAGCAGCAAATAGAGGGGCAGCACCCCGGCCGAGCACTGGTTGTTAATGAAAAACCTGTGTGCAAAATACAGCTTTTTTAAAAACTGACTGACTGACCTCAGATTTGTTTAGGAAGGAGAGAGTCGGAGCTGAGTACCGCCGTGTGAGACAGGTACTCGCGGGTGTTTTAAAATGGCGGCGGAATCTCGCGATAAGCGCGAACCAAGATGGCTGCCGCGCGCGCTGATGCTAGCCGCGTAATGGAGGGGAGTGGGTACTGGGAGCTGTCGTGAGGCGGCGGACCCGGGATGTGAGGGAATATCGGCGGTAAAATAACCCGCCTGAATGGGGGCGCTGCCCGAGGGCGGGCGGCCCAAAAGTGTGCAATTACAAGTAGAAATAGAAAGTTATACACAGGATAGGATAGAAACAATATACAGGAAAGACCTGGAATAGTAAATAAGTTCTAAAAGAAAACGAAGTGAAAAGATAGATGAAAATAGATGAAAACATGAAGTAATTACTTGATAAAAAACTTGACAAATGTAAATAAAGGGAAGAGCCAGCCAAAATACTCTGACCTGTCTGCGATGGAGCAGTAAAGAAAGAGGGGAAGGAGCCTATTTACTGGGAATGTCATACTCCCTACTGCATTTTTTGATTGGTTAAAGGTTATCTTTCTTTACTGCTGTGGAGTTTAGTAAAGAGAGTTATGCAAAATAGGAAGCCTCCTGTCATGTGATAAAATTATACGCCATTGAGTAAAATATTGAAAATCACTGTTGACTTGTTTCATGTGATTTTCTGTTTTCTATTAAAATTATATTAAAGATCCAACTTAAATGGAGAATTTCTGCTAAAAGCAATAAGCTCCTCAAGGAGTTGGGAAAGGCAGAAGATCAGCATAAGTTATCACCTACGAATATTAACCGAACCCTTTTACACAAACGTAGGACTGAGATAGAGACTCACCAGCTACAGCGGGTAGAAAGAGCACTCCATAAAATAAGATGTGATTATTAAAGACAGGGCAATAGAGCGGGGAAACTCCTAGCTGCACAACTTAAACGAAAGGCCACCCAAGCGAGAATACCGAGCCTGCTTACTGAGGTTGGAGACAAACTGACTAACCCTAAAATGATAGTAGATGAATTTGCTGCTTTCTACGAGTCGCTCTACAATCTCTCCTCAGCTCCCTTGCAGCACCAACCAACGCACTCAGATAATACTGATTTCCTTGATGTTGTGGAACTCCCTCAGCTCTTCAGAGGCCAGGCTAGTGACTTAGACAGGCCAATTACGACTGACGAAGTCTCTAGAGCTATACAAGTGACGCCTAAACATAAAGCCCCAGACCCTCACGGCTTCTCCACCTACTACTATAAGACATTTAAAGACCTGTTCCTTCCTCATTCAACTGCCCTCTTTAACCACGTTCTTGACACCGGATGGACACCTCCTGAAATGTTAGAAGTGACTATTGTCACCAGGAAAGACGACTACATCTTGTGCAAACTAACGCCCGATATCTCTGCTGAACGCGGACACAAAGCTGTTCCCAAGATTATTTCACCTGAACAGGCGAGGTTTGTCCCGGGTTGACAGGTGGAGTGTCGAGCACTAGACTTACTTGAACCTATGGTGACTAACAAACTGACAGGCCTTACTCTTGAGCTGGATGCAGAGAAGGCTTTTGACCACCTTGATTGGAAGTATATGATGGAGGTATTACAAAAGTTTTAATTCTCTCTCTATACTCTGCACCCTCGGCCAAAGTGATGAGTTCTGGTTTCTTATCCCGCCGTATCATTCTAACTAATGGTACTCGCCAGGGCTGCCCGCTATTGCCCCTTAAATTCATATTGGCGCTAGAACCCATGATCCATAAGATTACGCAAAACCAGGCCATCAAGGGAGTCCCTACACCAATAGGCACCCAAACATTAGCTCTTTTTGCAGACAATGTCCTCATATTTCTCACAAAACCACAAGAATCCCTCCCACCCCTACTAACCCTTTGTAGGCACATATGGATGGGCAAGAACAATACAGTGAAACCGCAGGTGCTCCCTGTAAATATACCCCAACCCCAATTAGCAGAACTGCAGGCATTATATCCCTTTGAATGGAGGAGGGATTCCTTAGCTTATCTTGGTGTCAGGATTCAAACCTAGAAACTTGGCGGTCCTGGGTCTGCTTTTTACCATTGAGCCACAGCAGCTTTGTTTGTCTTTAAGCCATTCCGGTCCTGTTCTTCCTGGCTTGTCTACAGCACTGGGGGCTGTACCTTGACTACTGCTGTGCTTCACCTGACCCTGATCAGACATCAGCAGGGTATATAAACTCAGCCTCGCCCTGTGATCTGGATCAAGTCTTTGATCCTGTTGTGTGTGTTCCGTACCAGTGTTCCTGTCTATTGATTCTCTGCTTCATTTTGACCCCGGCTCCTGGCATCGTTTACTCTGACCTCTGGCATCCCTTGACTATGGCTATTCCTCGTTGTTCCTGTCCTCTGGCATCCTTTGACCTCGGCTATCCCTTGACTATCCTGCTGTTTGAGTCCTTGCCTGTGCTGCATTTTGGAACTTCATCCTGCACAGCCCCAGTGCACAGATCCACAGGCCAGGTGAATTCTTACCTGACCACCTTGGCCTATGGCTATTTGCAAGGGTGAGCATCATATCTGCGCTACAGACTCCCAACTCAGGTAAGACCCTGACACTTGGGACGCAACTGTCCACTTCGATACGAGATATACTGACACATAACCACTGTACGCTATTGAAGAGTGTGTCGGGGCTGCTGGAGAGGTGGAGGGATAAGAATTCCTTGTGGTTGGGTCGCATATATGCCACATAAATTATTTTCTTACCACAGATATCTTTTCTCTTCAGAGTGTTACCAATCAAAATTCCCAAATCACCTTTAACAAAATTCCAATCCTTAATCAACACACACATATGGAAGCGGAAGCCTCCAAGGGTTTCCCTAGCAAACATTTCTCTGTGGATGGGCGAGGGAAGAGTGGGAGTACCAAGTTTTGCCAAATATTATGTGGCCACTACCCTAACACAAATGGCAGGACTATTGACGACAAAGCAGGCTCCTATGTGGCATGCCTTAGAGCAGGCGATTAGTGCACCCCACTCAATGATGGACCTACTCTGGGTCCCAACACAGAGACACCCACAGCAGTTACGGTTACTTTCCACAACTAAACTATCTGTAAACATGGTGCAGATGGGCCCTGGGAATAGTGACCAAGACACCGGGTGTGTATGCTACGCTACACAGTTTGTCAAATCGCACGCATGACCTGCTATTGAGTGGCTGGACGCAACGGGGTATTACGAAAGTGACACATTTGTTGGGAGAAGGAGAAATCCGGAAGTTCCCTGATGTGCAACAGACCTATGCTTTGCTCAGCAGATAAATCTTTACATATATGCATATCAAACATATTCTAGAGAAGGATAAGCTGAAACTACTAGACACCCAAGAACTGTGTACATTTGATAAACTGTGTTTGGGTCTTCTGGGCCTCCCTAAGCCACTATCTCTGTGTTATAAACACATATTGGTAACAGGCCGACCATCTAACATAAGATATATGGAACAATGGGAAAAGGAACTTAATTGTAGCATGGAGCCGAGCAGTTGGCATGCCACAATGTCAGGAGTGAAGAGAGGCACTCACTGCTTGGACCTTGTAGAGGCAGCTTACAAGTTATGGATGCGTGGTACCTCACCTCTCAATACTTAGCACCCAGGTGCCCAGCCAACCTGCTGGTGCTGCTGCCAAGATACAGGCACATTAAGTCATATTTTCTGGCAATGTCCAGCTCTTACAAACTATTGGCAACCGATACAAACTCTAGTTGAGAATAGCACAGATAGGTCTCTACCTCTTACGCTGGAAACTTACCTATTACACATGATACCCAAAACGTCCCCCAAACATGTCGCGGTTTTGACTTTACACATAATGATGGCAGCAAAAATTTCTATAAGTAAGCTCTGGAAATTCACAAAACGTCCAGAATTGACGGTAGTCATTGACAAAATAAATGCTACTAGGTTGTATGAGGAAATGTCACACAAATTAGAAGAGTTGAAGAGTTATTATATGGTCCAGGTGGCAAATTTTGATATGATCTTGTATTTCCTCCTCCCTCCTATCACCCCCCTCTCCCCCAAACAACAACAAAAATTTTTACAACAACAAAAAAGCCAAACAGATTACAGACCATTTCGGATGCCGGCTGCTCTGCGCTTTATTTATAGTCGGAGCTGCATTTAGAGTCTGCCTTGTAAGCTCTGTTCTCTGCATCATTTATCTATGTTGAGAGCTTGTCTCATTTTAGGTATTAATAAATGTGACATCACGTTTTTCTGTTTAGTTCATTCATTTATGTATTTTGCTTTCCTTTCATTCATCTTTGTTGAGCAATTAAAAACAAGGTCACTTACAATCCTGACGGTCAGGGTGTTATCTAGCTGAAACTCGGAATGCACTGACAACAGAATGTATCATATCTTAACACACATGTAGCGAGTGCCCGATTTTGTTGCAATTATCTCTTAAGTCATGTTTATGATATGTGACATTGTAATTTTTCCCTTATGTATCATTGTGATGTCATGTATCTGCATTTCTGTACTTCTGTGACCTTGCAATAAAAATGAAACATTTAAAAAAATAAAATTATATTAAAGATTTAGTAAACAACATCATCAACCAGCTTAGAAAAAGCAAGGACAATCACGGGAAGGGAAGAGGAGATCTCTTTATGTTTCTCTATACTCACTGCCTGGGGTATAATACAGAACTTATAACAATGATTGACAAAGAGGAAAGATGGAAGCACCCAGTTGCTGGATAGAAAGACTTGAATTCTACATTTAATTGTATTTTTCATGCATTTCTATATATATAAAAAAATACATATTTGTTCAAAATGGTGATAAGTAAATATTAAAATAGAAAATCCTGGTGTGTGACCTTTCCCCTTGAACAAATGGTATGGATCAGGTTCTTTGATGTAAAACGTGACGCCTGTTATTTCTGTATTAATTATCAGCTCCTGCCTTTCAGATGCTGTATAATGTTAATTTCTTCTGAGTGGTTTCCAAAATTAGGCGCTTTGTTTGTTACGTCATAGGTTCAGTAATTCCTTCTTCATGCTTTCTGAATATATGTTAACAAATAAACAGATAAATAAACTATTGATCTGTGATTTTCAGCTGCAAAATGATTGTGTATTTGAATATAAACATAAGTATATAGAAAGTACATAAAATAAGCATTTGCTGACTTATCCATCCAGTGGAATCGTTGCTATTATTTTTGTTGCTAATTTGGAAGCATTGCTTTACTGTACTTAACTAGGGACTCCTTACTATTACTAGCACATTTATCTTGCCCATAAGTGTCATATATCACAAATATATTCTGCCCTCACTACCCACTCAGCACAGATATCATTACCTCATATTACAGCTTTGGAATCTGATGACTCCTAATGACCCAAGTGACTGGCAGGGGATCTGAATTGTAGTATCAATACTAACCAAAAGGAACAGGCATATAAAACTCTGTTCTATTTGTATCGTACACTAAAGCAAATGATTGTAATAAAGGGCCATAGAAATTCAGTGCTGGAAGGGCAGCCCTAAGCATGCAAATTTATGGCACGCCACTTCTTCTCTCAAATCCCAGGTAATACAAAAACTGTTACAGTCAGAGTCTTGCTCTTTACTTATTTCTAAGCAGCAGGAACACTTGACTAGACACGAGAACAAACTGGCTGTTCTAGCACAGGGTCAGGCAACCATCTGCACTTCACAGACTACATCTTCCATAATGCCGTAACAGCCATTTTAGAGCCATGATGCTGGCAAAGCATCAAGGGAGATGTAGTTCACAACATGTGGAGTGCCGAAGGTTGCCTGCCCCTGTCCTATCAGCTGGAAGAACACCAGCAGCCAATCACATCCCTCCTGTAGGACTGTCATTCGGAAGACCAAAATCAAGTTAAAAATAATTTTAAAAAGTAGCATAACCTTCTTCCACTTCTCTCCTTTTCCTGATTTCCTAAGTTTACCTATCACAAGATACATGTGAGATGTAATCCTATAGATATCTAGCCAAATGCTAGGATACATTTATAATAGAAAAAGTAATACTATAAGTATTCAGTACTTTTTATGCAAATGCTCAATGTATCTTATTTATTAGTCAAAATGCTAAATTAAGAATTCTCCCATAAAACTATACGAGCCCCAATTGGCTTGCAATTTTCTAACAAATACTCATTAGTACCACGTTATTGTGCATTTACAGAGTTTTTACCCAGCGACTGAAAATACCTAGAGCAGGAACATGTATAATAAATGCGTACATAAAAATGGCATTCAAAATAAAAATTTTAAATAAATACAAAAAATACAATGTGATCAATTTAGCGCTTACATTTTATTGTGAACTCATCAAAACAAATATATTTTAAGCCTGTTCTGAAAATTGTTACAACCATCTGACTGTTCTATGAACATGATGCTGATGGCAGAAGCAAGCTGATAAAGAACCGAAAAATAATTGTAACTTTGTGTCCTTTATTATTTCTGGAGCACAGAGTTTTATTTACTAAGCCGTGAGCTAAGTAAACTTGCTAAATTTTATGTTAAAGTAGCTGAGTTGAAATAATGCTCCAACTCAAATATTTTCCTGTAAGTCAGCTGTTTTGGCACACATTACGCAAGTTGCTTGTCAATTCATCCCAGCTCATGTGTTCATTGAACCGAGAAGTGTCGAAAATTGACACCAGAACAATCAAATTGGAAAATAATAAAACAAAAATTCACAAAAACAAAAGCTTTTTCAATTCCCTGATCAATTCTCCACCATTCTTGTTTACATGAATAACCACAAATGTTTAGTGAATAAACAACTGTTTCTACTAAACTGTCCCTAGAGTCTATTTTCATCATAATCCAGCGAATGAAGTATTCAAAATAAAAATAAAAAACATAAAACTACGGATACATTTCCCAGTTCGGTTTTGGATTCTGTTGCTTAAGAGACAGTAAAAACTAAAGAACGATACAGCCTATGAGTGTGCTTGTGTTCACAATGCAGTTAGTTTACTTAGCTCCTAAATCTCTACAAACAAGTGAGGTAATGAGGCTGCAGGACTGCGCAGCCAGTGGGATCAGCAGTTTGGTTCCAAGAACACAATAAAATATATGTTTAGCTGATTGATCCCTTGTTATTTGCTGAGCACTCATGTTAGGACAAAACAATAAGCAGTGTCAGCTCCCGGCTCCCTTTTCGCATCCGCATGTCCCACCACACTTCCAACTTGCTCTTATCCAAAGTATGGACTCCCAGATCTCATTCTCTTGTTCAACTTAGACCCCTCCTTCAAAAACTAAAAAAAGCTTTATGCAAGCAGATTTATGGAGTATAAATACTGGGGTGGGGGGTCTGGCTAGATACCAAGCATCTTTCTCAGTGGCTCTGTCACAGCAATTCCGTAAGTAATACCTTTATCTGCTCTTTATTGGTCTTTTAGGACAGGGGTGACTAAAACTTGGCCCTCTAAACCTTGTTGGGCTACACTTCCCATAATCCTTTGCTACATCTGGGGTATCCAAACTAGGATGGCATGTATGTGCCAAGTGAACAGGGTCCTGATAGCTTTGTAAAAACATTTGCAGCTTCATGAAGTTTATGGCGAGATTAGAAAATACGTTGGATAAAATTTCTATTTCAAATTCATATCTATTCTTTCACATTACCCCACTCCCACTTTCTTTCCCACTCTCCCTCTAGATCCTTTCCTTTCAATCTCTATCAATCTCTATCTCATCTCTCTCTTCAGAACATTGCTAATTGATGCATTGATTTAAAATAGTGCTTCTATTTTCCCTTTGAAAATGAACAGGATAATTAGATAGAGAACTAGTGACACCCATTGGAATAATGCGGCTATGCACCCTCTTCTATTTTTAATTACTTGTGCAGCAATAGACATTTTCCTTTCTTGTTACATTCACATAGATTCACTGCATGGGCCTTGTGTTTATTATGACTAATAAATGACCTTGACTGATGGATATAAAGTTATATTGTGCATATTATTAGTGGTTATGTATAAAGATCAATTTCAAGGGCAGCACTCTACAAGCTCAGTGCTAAGCTTGAATATGCCATTAAATTCCATGTGATTACTTCACTTTTAGAACTCTGCCCCAGAAATGCTTCTTTTACATAGTCTAATTATGTATGGAGACTGTAATAGTAAAGTGATTGTGTGGAAGAGGAGTAGATATGTGAAAGATTGACTAAGAGGTGTGAAATGTCAGTTTTTATGACCTAGTTCTCATGCTGATTGGAATGCTCTAAAATAGCATGTAGGTTTTCAATTCTTATTCATTTCATCCCTCAGAGCTCGAAAGCACTCCATCAGTACACAAAATTGGGCCTCTCTGTTATGACAGTGCGTCCCCAATGTTTGGAAGAGGCTCAAGATATTGATCAGACCTCAGGCAACTGCTCATAATAAACTGGTTAGTGTAGCAGCACTTCCTTGAATCTGATAAATCAGTTCAAGAATGTGTCACAGAGGTCATTTAAAACCGAAGAATAGCTTATATTGTGCCTTATATCGGCCTTCCAAGATTGCAGTATCACACCAGGAAGTGCCTCTAGTAACTGCCTGAGTGACACTATTCGATATGGCCGTGGGAACAAATGTTAAACACAGCCTTTTTTTTACAGAAAAGGCAGAGTTTACATTTATCAGTCTGTAAGGACAGTCTATATTCACCAGAACCACTACATTATGCTACAGCGATTCTGGTGCTTAGACCCTGCAGCTATAGTTTCAGATATTACCTACATGTTGTTGATGGAACTGGTACTTAATAAAGTTTAAAATATGGCATACATAGCACTTTTAAAAAGTAGACAGATCAGAAAAATATATATAACTGAATTTCCACCAATATTTGCATGTATGCAATGATTTGAAAAGGACTATTCACCTGTATATCTTAATTTTGACTTTGAAAAGTCCCCCTTGGGCACAGAAACTTGAGAAATCCTTTTCCCACAACTATTCAAGAGGTTGACACACAAATTACTGAGCACAGACAGACATTGTGTTTCCAAATTCATCCTGCAGTTCTACAATGGACACTGTTTCAAACACAGGGTTTATTTTTAAGCCATAGCACAGGTTGTGATCCAAAAGGATACACAATAATAACATGAGATTTGAATAGAATGTTTAGCAACAAGCTAGTTATTTATTAAGCTGAGTTATATATAATATATAGCCCTTTGACCATGTCAAGGACGAAATAGTTTTGAAATGTAAATGCTAGCAACAAAACATAACTCATACTGAATACCAGGAACAATGTGGGTGGAAGGGGACATGGATTACGCAAACAGTTCAGCGTCTCTAAATAGGTGCGGAAACAATCAAAGGATTTTCAGTGAATGGAATTTGCAAAGCAAAATACTCCAAAATTTAAAATTTTTTGATCATAATGATACATCTAACCCGTGATCTAACTTCTAGCTTTTTGTCCATCTGTACAAAAGGTAATATGCATTTTAAATCACGTTAAATCACCTATATTTAGTACGATAATATCACATTTGTTTGTAGGGATCTACTATTTCATTACAGTACTTTACAGGGAAAAAGAAGAGACCAGCTATTCACACACTCAAATGAAAGATGAAGATAGGCCTTCTCCAGGACCTCCTGGATCAAATCAATATGAAATTGGCTACAGATTAGCTTGAGAGTTCTTCAGACTTATTAGAAACTTCAATCCATTTAATCACAGTTTGTCATGTGCATGTGTTTAAATGGATATGGATATTTCATGTTACAGCATATTATGCTTGGACCTCGGACATTATGTAAATTGCACATTTAATGCTTATTATAATTGTTGTGTATTTCAGTATTTCAAGATGTCTCACAGTTCAGCTCAGGGCAGCATTGGCAGTCACTCAACTGTGGGTCTGCAGAATTACAAGGTAAATAGAAATTAATAATAATGGAAGTGGTACTCTATTAGTGCAGACTTTCCTAATGAAAGATGCATCCAAGTTCTCTGAGGTGCATACAACCAACTCTCCTTATTGTGTATGTGTATATAACACTTCCAAACCTCCCAAGTATCCCTCGTTAGGCCAAATCATTCTGTTCCTCTTTTTTCGGTTCTAATGGCCATCATTTCTAAAAGTTCCAATTCCAATTAGTGTGTTACAATGATATAACATGAATGTGGACATTTAATTCTGGCACATGGCTTCAAAGATAATTTTTTGAAGACCCTATCAAACATCACTGGACCTTAATGTTTGAGAACTTGTGATTACGAAGTGAAATCTATATAAATATGTTGCGTTAATCCTACAGCTTATCTGCTATGAATATGAAAACTTCCAAGGCCGCAAAGTGGAGTTCAACTCTGAATGCCGTAACCTGTGTGATCGTGGCTTTGACCAGGTGAAGTCCATCAGAGTGGAGTCAGGACCGTAAGTATCTTTAGATGTTAGTGAAATATACTATTTCAAAAATAACATGGCAGTCATATTGCAGAGAAAGTTGGAATAAAATCTAAATATGAATCTGTGTAAGATGTATGAATCTTTTTTCCGATAATGGGACATACTCCAACTTAGCACACATGTAGGTCATACATGCTATACTAGCAGTAAGTCAGATTTTGCTCACAATGTGCTCTTTATCTTGCTTCCTTTTGTAGCTGGGTTGCATTCGAGCAGAAAGATTTTAGTGGAGAGATGTTCATCATGGAGAAAGGAGAATATCCTCGTTGGGACTCCTGGTCTAACTGTTTCCGTGCTGACAGGATAATGTCTTTGAGGCCAGTTCGTATGGTAAGAAATAGGCAATGATTTTTTGTAACATGAATGAAGCATGCATCGGTCAAACATTTATTTCCTTGGAGTTCCTTGTGAACTTACAAATGAGACAGTAGCATGGACCAAAGGCCCAGTCATGAGATGGACACATGCATACCATATGGACCACAAGTCACAGACTAACATTTGTGTCTAGAAAGAGTCCTCCTTAGGTTATCGGTAATGTTTTATATTAAGCGCACTGCGATCCTGCATCGATTCCATCATCCTCAATCTAATGACAGTGAAACCTGCAAGACCAGAGAGATGTTCTGAACTGTTGACATCAATGTTTTCAAGTAAACTTGCGGTTATTTGTTTATAGATGTAATTATTTAAATATTTAATTTCTCTGTTTCAAATGGTATGCACTATGAGTATCTTTAAACCTTGTCAATATACAGAAGCAATGTTCTAGGGGCTATTAAAAATATAAGTTCTTTTTTTTTTATTTACATTACAATAATTTACTTATGCTTCTGCGTACTAAAAAGAAATTTGGAGGAACTTATCCATGGAAATAGGACATCGCCGAGTATTTACCATATGGTTCTAGATCCGAACTTTTTATTGTATATTGTGTATATATAAGAAGAATTATACTGGTTTAAGGGCCTATTGGTGAGGATAAATAATTAATTCTGCAGGTACAAGACTCCACACATTGACAACTAACCTTGGCAAAAATATGATGGAAAAAATAGATGAAAAAGTTGTATGTGGGATGCAAGTTATCTCAGCTACATTATTACATGCAAGTATATGGCAGTTGAAAATCCATGTTACTGCACTTAGTAACCATGTTACTTAGAAATTTGTACATTGACCATTTACAACACAGAATATACATACAGCAATTATTCATTATTATTAATGTATGGAATGAATCAATCATCATACGTTAAAATTGATGGCTTCCTGTAAGCACGTTGTGCTATAGAATGCTGTGCATTAATGATTAGTTAATAGGTCCCATACATTATTTTATTACTGGAAATGAGTCAGTGGCTCCTATACCATGAACTGTGTGACACCAAGTCTTTCATAACTGCAGTCATATGAATTAAAATTATTTTTTTTTTTGATCGATTATTATTGTTGTATTATATATTTGTTCAACCAATAGGACACTCAGGATTACAAGATCTCTCTTTACGAATGTGTGAACTTCGAGGGAAGGAAGATGGAGGTCTGTGATGAGGATATTCCCAGCCTATGGTCCTATGGATTCCAGGATAGAGTAGCCAGTATCCAAGTTGTTGGAGGAACGTAAGTATTTAAATATCAAACACCCATTCTCTAATATTTATTTAAGAGATCCATTTCATGTTAGGCTTGTTGTGCTTGTTTTATGCAGCAGAGGAAGAATTAAGACTTTGGTTTTCATTAAATATTCATGAGAATACTTTTGATTGCTACTGACTTAATGAAATAGTGTATATTTTTGGAGACAATCTTAGAAATTGTCTAAATACTGAAATAATATTTTAAGCTATTTTAATACAGTTCATGCGAGCTCCAGCTTGTGCATATTACATTGTGGGACAAAGTTCTTTTTGTGGACCAGGCACCATGGAAATCAGTAGAATGCTCCTGCTGATAGTACCACTTAGAACTTTTTTTGGACTGTAATTATTTTACATGCAAATCTCTCCTACAGTGTCATCCCTTGTCTAAATACTGCAGAATATGTTGTGGTTTTAAAAGAAAACTAATAATTAAAATAAAATATAGGATATAAAACTAACTAGGCATTTTTAGCGATGTGATTGAAATACTTTAAGACAAAGCAACAAACGTTTAGCCCTTCAGCTGTTGTGGTACTATGATCTTCACTTATCCATAAGCATAGAGGATTGTGGGAATTGGGAAAAAACTATCCCTGATATGTTGTCATGGGAGATTTAAATAGCTGAGATATGTTAAGTAAGGTCTATGAGACTTTGCTTAGTTTGATCTGACATATAACTCTCTTTCTACAGATGGGTTGGGTACCAGTACCCTGGATACAGAGGATACCAGTATCTGATGGAATATGGACCATACAAACATTGGAACAACTGGGGTGCCAATCAGCCTCAGATTCAGTCTATCCGCCGGGTCAAAGACATGCAATGGTACAAGAGAGGGAACTTTGAAGTTGGTAACTAGAAAGGCATAGAGAATATGACACAGAACCTAAATGGCACAATAAAGGGACTTGTTTCTTTAATTTTTGAATTTTCTTTTTAACCATCCTCAGTTTATTGGTGAGAGAGACGGTGGTAAAATATTTTCATACTGTTTTTACCCATAAGTTTACATATTTATTGAATCTTTTTGACTTTTCAGACATTTAGTTGTCCTCAAATGATCCTTGGGCCAGAAATGTTTCACTTGTTACTATGTTCAACCACTGGTTACCAGTGTTTACATTGCTGCTTTTTCCATTCAGTTTAATGGAATATCTCAGGCACCTAGCAGTATGACCTTCTGAAAACACAGAGGCTCAAAATACTTGGCTTTGTCTGTAAACAAAAAGTAGAGCTCAGTAATACTTTTCATTGTTTGTCCTTGCATTTCTGCCTGGATTATTTGCTACAAACTAAACTAGTTCCAAGTCTTTTAAAGTCCAGGCCAGTGGTCTGAACCCCAGGGATTAAAGAATAGCACTGGTTTGCTTTCAGATCCTTGTTGCGTAGACATAATGACAGTTTGAGATGATGGGCATATCAAATATAGAGATTTAAGGGACAGAAACAGGGACCTGGACAGATTTCATAACGTTCCCGAAAAATGGCTGCCATATGTCTTTATCAAATTGCTCAGTCAAGGTTGATGTTGTTTCAAAGTATCCATATAAAAAAAACAAAAAAAACAAACAAAGGATTATGTTGATGATATAGTGGTTCCTCTAACATTGTTCCTACATGGTTTGTGTCCTTGAATAGTTTAAGATAACTTTGTTTTATGTAACTATTCACAACACAGATCTGTTACGATGTGTGTTGCCGAGCCCCACCACTTACAACAACATCATCAACTGAGCTTCAGTCGAACACGCTAGCTGAAATTGCCTGGTTCTTGTTTCTATTTTACAGGGACAAAATGGAACTTTTTAATCTCTCCTGAGTTTATTGTTCCAATTCTATGTTCACCTTGTGAACTACGCAACTTTGTGAACTCAGATTTCAGCAAAAAATAAAAGAATATGCAGCCTTTTATAATGAAGGAGTCGGGGCTCTCTCTAGGACAGTGAAAGGATAAAAGGATTTAGCGATGATGAGAACTAGCTGGCAATCCTGTTTTGTTGATGCTAGAAGAATTTAAGACATTATACATTTGTTACCATTTCTAATTACTAGAAATAGGCAGAGAAGTCAAAATATTCCAACATGGGGGCTGCTAGTTGGCATTGCATTAGCGATGCTAAATGTATATCTTCAAACCCTAGTCTGTTACATAGTATGACAGACAGTAATATTAATGCCCAAAATAATGTCCAATATATTATATAAGAACTCCCTCTCTCTCCCTTGTGAACAGGTCTGAAATTTGCCTTTAAAGCAGTGGTACCCAACTTTGACTGCCCTCCAGCTATTATTGGATAATTACAAAATTGCAATTGAATTGTGGGAATTGTAGTCAAATAGCAGCTGAAGGCCAAAGTTTGTGCACCTCTCCTTTAGAGGATGGGAACATTTTTATGGTCACCGTCTGCTTTCTCAGGGAAACAAGTCTTGTTTTAATACACACAAACCTCAGCGACTGATTGCGCAACATGAAACTGTTCATTGTTCCTTTTCAATACATTGTCCATCCAATTGCAGCTTGCCTATCCATCAGTACGTGTGTCAAACTCTTTGCAGTAAAACTACAAATAAAATGTAATCCACCATATTGCCTGATTTGTTTTATTTAGTTAATGATAAGGAGTTCATCAAAGTGTAAGACCATCAAGCTTGGACCATTGGGAAATGTGATAATATATTGCAAAGCATAGAATGCAAAAACAAAAAATAGAACACACATGTACACACAAATCTACATACACTGACACATCTTGTGTAATTAACACAGAACATTACAACCAGCTTGTACACTATATTTTATTACCTGTGTTACTCTTGGAGCAGTCTAATCCATACCCCCTGCATGTAATTCCGATCTGGCAGAAATTTTTAAAGATCACACATGTCACCTTACACCTTGGGTGTCTATAACAGGGTTCATTATACCAGAAGGTGAAATACAGGTTAGTCAAAATTAATTGAGTACTAATAGAGGCCATCCAAACAGCTGATTAGAGTGCCACATTGTGTAAAAGTGAGAAATAAAAGGGTCGCAAATTTCCCAATTTGGTTATGAAACTCTCTATAGCATGAGTGTAGAGGGGTGAAATTACTGGCAGTGGAACCACAAGAGGACCTAAAGGTGTATTGTGGCCAATCGGGCAACCCTCAACCTCAGTGCCACTATAAAGGCATTGGAGCTCATACTAATGTCAGGGGCCTAGTCAAGTACCCTTTAGCGCAATACGGTCCAGTGGAGGGGAAAAAAAATCTCCCCAAGCCAGACTGTCATTAACAGAGACATTGTACTGGGCTCTTGCCATACTAGAAAAGCTTAACTGTCACCTTGCAATGCGCCCTCTGCTATCTCCCTGGATTTAAGGTAAACAACCTTTTTGCACACAAAAGGTTTGAAAACCGAAGTGTGGTTAAAACATGCATTTTCATTATTGCAGTGTGTGCATGTTATAGCGCATCTGTGTATGTTATTTTGTGTGTGGCTGTGTTTGTCTCTGCTGTTGCAATGTTGTGGCAGTGTGTGTATCTGTGTGTGGCAGAGTGAATGTATCTGTGTGTGTGGTAGAGTATGTGCTTTTTGTGTTTGGCAGTGTGTGTATCTGTGATCGTGCGTTCATCATTTTTTATATCGATGTGTGGCAGTGTATGTGTATATGTGAATATGCAGGGGTGTTTATGTGAGTAAACCCTTGCATGTAAACACCAAAAATACACTTAAATACACCTTTGCGTCCAATATTACACAGAAATGCACATCAACATTCTCACACACATACTCTGTACAAAAGATCCCTAAATAGACACTGAACACAAATTGAAGCCTGCAAAGAAAGGCAAATGGTGGATCCTCATCTGGCAAAGCTTAACAGGAATTGTACAATATTTAAGGGTCTACCTTTTGGCCACCCTTGCTCTATAGAGTGGACACAAAACATTTTCTTTCCCAAGGGTCCTCCCATTAGTTCCACCCCTAGAAGGAAGAGAACAAAGCATGACATGCATAGAGATCCGTTTTGACCTTTTCCCCTTCTATCAGATGAAGGCAAGCTGTCTTGATGTCTTGACCACTTCTAAAGTTCTACAGCTATAGGATGCCAAAGCCAAGATATTTCAACAAAACAAACTCTGATCTTGTGTGAGATGAAACAATCTCACATGCTCAAGCAACAGTGTTACAGTGTGACGTCACATGAAGGGTGAGGTGGAGAGCAGGACACTACCTCTGCCACACAAATGTGAGAAACTAGATCAAGTGGCTCCCACTATTAAATCTCTCTGCGAAATATTTAACCTATGGTGGACTGTACCGTGGGATGATTTACTGTTAGCAATTCTGCCCGTCCAAAAGTAACGAGAAAGGCAGGAGGTGCCATGGAGTCATATTTTGCCTCTCACTGCCTGTGTGATGTGCAGCAAGCTGAGAGGGAGACAGGAAGGAAAGCCATGCTACCTTGTGCTCAAATCTCTTTCACCAACTGTAGACACCAGGGATAGCACAAAGCTCTTTTCCCTTCCTAAAATTATGATTTATCTGTGTATATTTAATTGTGTGTCAGTGTGTGTTTCTGTATGTGTGTGTCTAAGTATATTTGTGCACCATTCTGGTTTCTGTAATGTAAATGTGTGTTTATGTATGCGTGCTAGTGTTTGTCTATGGATGTCTGCTAGTGTGTGTCTGTATGTGTGCTAGTGTGTGTATTAGGATGCGTCTGTATGCTGGGGTAAGTCTGTGTATGTGTGCTTGAGTGCATTTGTAAACTAGTTGCTGTCCTTCACTCATCCTTTTTTCCATTAATCATCTTTGTTTTGGTTTTTTGGTGCTACAGACAGAACTCACGAATCACAAAACAAACGAAACAGCTTATCCATTGTCTACTTTTTATTTGTTTAGTGATTCATCCACATGGCTGGCGTTTTGTAGTCAGGAAATTCGGATGAATTACTGATTGCCAGAATTCAGACGAATTACAATTAGTTCAAAACCAAATGCTCACGTTTAAATATAATATAAGATATAATTAAAGGTACACCCAAGAAAACCATCTACAATAATCAGTTGACGTTATTAGCTGCTCTCCACTATGATTATTATTAATTTTAGCATTTATACAGCACCAACATATTCTGCAGCATTTGTGTTCGGGGCAATATTGCCGTAATGAAGGAAGTTATAAGCAAGAATGATTGTAACACAATAGTCAATAGCACCAGTCGATTGTGGTGTGCCCAAATTGACAATGCAGTAGGCCTGTAATAAAGTGGGCACAAAGAATGTATACCATACAATACATTTATTCAGTCAACAATACAACGTATTTATTACTTTTTCAAATCAAGAAATGCTTGACGCATCTCTTGCACCGGTTCAGGGATATATACAGGGAGTGCAGAATTATTAGGCAAGTTGTATTTTTGAGGATTAATTTTATTATTGAACAACAACCATGTTCTCAATGAACCCAAAAAACTCATTAATATCAAAGCTGAATATTTTTGGAAGTAGTTTTTAGTTTGTTTTAGTTATAGCTATGTTAGGGGGATATCTGTGTGTGCAGGTGACTATTACTGTGCATAATTATTAGGCAACTTAACAAAAAACTAATATATACCCATTTCAATTATTTATTATTACCAGTGAAACCAATATAACATCTCAACATTCACAAATATACATTTCTGACATTCAAAAACAAAACAAAAACAAATCAGTGACCAATATAGCCACCTTTCTTTGCAAGGACACTCAAAAGCCTGCCATCCATGGATTCTGTCAGTGTTTTGATCTGTTCACCATCAACATTGCGTGCAGCAGCAACCACAGCCTCCCAGACACTGTTCAGAGAGGTGTACTGTTTTCCCTCCTTGTAAATCTCACATTTGATGATGGACCACAGGTTCTCAATGGGGTTCAGATCAGGTGAACAAGGAGGCCATGTCATTAGATTTTCTTCTTTTATACCCTTTCTTGCCAGCCACGCTGTGGAGTACTTGGACGCGTGTGATGGAGCATTGTCCTGCATGAAAATCATGTTTTTCTTGAAGGATGCAGACTTCTTCCTGTACCACTGCTTGAAGAAGGTGTCTTCCAGGAACTGGCAGTAGGACTGGGAGTTGAGCTTGACTCCATCCTCAACCCGAAAAGGCCCCACAAGCTCATCTTTGATGATACCAGCCCAAACCAGTACTCCACCTCCACCTTGCTGGCGTCTGAGTCGGACTGGAGCTCTCTGCCCTTTACCAATCCAGCCACGGGCCCATCCATCTGGCCCATCAAGACTCACTCTCATTTCATCAGTCCATAAAACCTTAGAAAAATCAGTCTTGAGATATTTCTTGGCCCAGTCTTGACGTTTCAGCTTGTGTGTCTTGTTCAGTGGTGGTCGTCTTTCAGCCTTTCTTACCTTGGCCATGTCTCTGAGTATTGCACACCTTGTGCTTTTGGGCACTCCAGTGATGTTGCAGCTCTGAAATATGGCCAAACTGGTGGCAAGTGGCATCGTGGCAGCTGCACGCTTGACTTTTCTCAGTTCATGGGCAGTTATTTTGCGCCTTGGTTTTTCCACACGCTTCTTGCGACCCTGTTGACTATTTTGAATGAAACGCTTGATTGTTCGATGATCACGCTTCAGAAGCTTTGCAATTTTAAGAGTGCTGCATCCCTCTGCAAGATATCTCACTATTTTTGACTTTTCTGAGCCTGTCAAGTCCTTCTTTTGACCCATTTTGCCAAAGGAAAGGAAGTTGCCTAATAATTATGCACACCTGATATAGGGTGTTGATGTCATTAGACCACACCCCTTCTCATTACAGAGATGCACATCACCTAATATGCTTAATTGGTAGTAGGCATTCGAGCCTATACAGCTTGGAGTAAGACAACATGCATAAAGAGGATGATGTGGTCAAAATACTCATTTGCCTAATAATTCTGCACTCCCTGTACAGTATAAGCGGAAGATTTTCAGCGTCCAAGTGCTTTGATTATGTGTACTAGAATATTGTTACTGGAGGCAGAGGATGCTGCACCTATACAGAAGGAGTGACCTGTGTAGCTAGCCAGTTTAAGACCAAGTCTTGTCAACAAAGTACGTATATAAAGCATAAACTTTGTGGTGGTGAGTATGGATCCATGTAATAACAGCAACGGCTGGTTTGCTTGTGTTGTGATCAAATATTTGGCCAACACCTTTATGGGGCACCATTTGTTGTGTGTAGGGTAGTAAGGGATGTCAACCTTGCATCCCATCTTGCTAGTTTTGGAGTGGGGAAGTGACAGAATGTAGTGATCTTGTGGATATTGGATCTTTTTAGGTAGTCCGTGGTGGTAAGATTGATGGTGGTGAACTCTCTTGGTCGTAGGAAACTGTAGAAGGCCAAATATATAGCAGTTTTTATAACCATATTAGTAAGAGTTTCAAAAGATGACTCATCTAGCAAGTCGGAGAGTGACTGGAACAACTGACTGTTCATAGATAGTCTTTTAGGGGGTAATATGGTGTTCGATTTCTGAATACCTTTGAGTTATGTTTTTATCTGATAAGACAATAGGAATCCTGTTTTATTTGGGTATTGGCTCAGCATATGATGTTGAAT